GTCGCTCATACTCATTTTCTGATTCCCCATAGTCGACTACCTACTCCATATCATTATCAGCCAATCAACTTTTGCTGTACTAGTTTGTCTGTCGCTAGTATCTAGTCTGCGGACATACAAACATACATACAAACATACAAACATACAAACATACATACAAACATACAAACATACATACATACAGGCATTTTAACTCGATAAGACCCTTTCCTTTACAGTCAAGGGAATATTTAATTTTATCTTCTGATGAGTGATTGTTGTGTAATAATCGAAGAGCAAAACTAATCGACAATGACTGTATCTGATATATTGATGAACGAAGAATTCATGACTTGATCATGGTAGTATTGTTGAAACATATATGCATTTATCATAATATGTAAAATAAATTGAAATAATTTATTCAGACAGCACATATCAGATTTCTGTTTATGTCTGTGGGTTATCACAATGAGCAAAATCGTATTCTCACATTGAAACATTGCATAATGAATATTATCAATGAATTCCCTATAAAAAAAGATTAATATGGCAGAGCCTGCTAACAAGCCTGCACATTCAGTTCCAGCAGGCAAAATTCTCACGAGCAGACCTGTGCGAGTCTGTTTTTACCGTACATATTACTTGTGAACACATCGTTCAATCAAAAAGAGCATGAAGCACATGCTACTGAACATTTTTGGGTGGAGGTGGCAGTATACTCGAATTGATAACAATTATTTGTTTAACAACAAACGTTCTAATTTGAATCTATTTTGAACAGAGAACCGTAGAATGTACTTCACTTACTTAATAAACAAGAAATCTATGGGCGGTCCTGATTTGTAAAATAACTGTGAGAATGTATATTTCTTAGAATTTGTTTTCAGGTATGAAGTAATATGCGCTCTCACAAAAAGATCTATATTGATCGTCTTGCTAACAACACTACAATGGGGCCGAATGACTATTTACCACTCGATACATTATTAGAGGACTACGTAAGATACTTCTTTTTACCTTCAATTATCGTATACTCTCACAAGTTAAAGAGTAAGCTACTTACGGACATCTATGCATTCACTTAATTAAGTTGCTAATGAACATGAGATAAATATTTCATATTATTGGAGAATTCTTTACATTTCTCTAAAAAGCTTACACTGTGAAACAAGAGACGCATTTTATAAAAAGTAATAAGTGGCTTAAAGACAGCCTCTTTTCTGGCCAGTAAGAAAATACCGCCATGTAAAAGACGCGTTAGCATGGCTTACGAAAGCGCCTGGATTTATGCATCCAAAGTGACTTTGTGCGACATAGTAGATGCGTTATCAAGTATCCCAGCAGATGTAACTTAGCAGATTCAATTTGTCATCAAAATCTGTGTAAATTTTTTCTGACAGTTGCTATCAGTTTCGATTATCAAATGTACCAGTTTTGTCTGTAGCAGTTTTACAGTTATATAATTTAGTGGTTATAATGAACTGCTTTTTGACTGAAACTGGTGCATACCTATGTGTTACGAACGATTGTTGTTGTTTATATGCAGAGAAAGGAAAGGAAAATTATCAGAGAAAACGATAACGCAGCTAACCGGCTGCTATCACAGGTACTAACACAAAGAATTAGATGATAAAACACGTAGGGTAACGAATTATCGATGTTGTTTAACGAGAATATTGCCTGAACCATTTGAATAATCATCAACTATTACACCAAAGGAAGGTATCGAATGGATTATGAATGATATTGTTAGACAATCTTCACATGATCGCAAGCATCAAAAACAACAATAACACTTTGTCGCGCTTTTTATTATTGTTTTAATTTGCTTATGAAGGGTTCTGATAAAAGGTATATCATATTATTTGGACTGAAGTGATATATCCGTTTCTCCTTTTGGACATATTGATGATTTTCACACAGCAATGCTAAATGTATATCTGTTAATATAACTTACCCATGTTGATCAAACCGATAAAAAACCGCCAATTAACCGCAGTTAACCATTCAATTAATTGTGAGGTTAACCGTCCAATTAACCGCGGTAAACCGGCATTAACCGTCCGATTAACCGCTTAACCGTTCGTTTTTTCGGTTAATTGTTGGTTTCATCTTGTTGTCTGATCCTAACGCCAGCGGTTCGAATCTTAGTTCCAGACCAAAAAATTTAAAAACAACTGTTTATTTTTTCTGAGTTTTGAGGTTGTATTGCGTTACCGTAGTGGTGTTGAGGTGCTTGGTGGTGTTGAGGTACGTGGTGTATGTTGTTGTTGTTGTTGTACCGGTGTTGATGGACTGGTTTGTATTGTTTTTCTAAATTTGGTTTTTAAATTTCTACGTTTTTGTAGAAATGTTTCGCGGAGAGACGGCCATTCGACGTTCATGTTATCATCGTCTAATTCATACTTCGATCGAACGGCTTCTACAGAAAAGACATATAAAAATAAATTCGAAAAGCAAGAGGCTTCTGCGACTAATAAACCTTTAGCTAAATTAAAACGTTCATCTTTCTGTAAATCATAAACATTGATATTTGGCAATTCGTCCGGTTTGAACAGTTGATCAACAACAGTTATTAAGTATAAGTTCATTTTTGACTTTTCTCCGAGAATTTGTAGCAAATCAATTTCTTGATCATTTTCATCTTTGTAAATCTGAAAAAGCGAACGAACGAACTAAGAGCACCCAAAAAAAAGTAATATTACAGTAAGGGATACAAATCACTCGAAGGTAAATGTGCGGCAGTATATTAAGCAGTAAGTTGTTCGAAAGAAGGAAGGTTGATCCCAAGTAGAGTCAGTAAAAGACTTGCAACGAAGAATAACTATATATGCCTGTTTATTTTTCTTCGAGAAATTGTTTTCTCTAGTCTATGTCACGGTCCTTCATAACTTCAGTTTTATTAGTAAAACTGACTGTAAAAGGGAAGAAGAACGGTAGAATACGCTATATGCCCCCTGACCACAACACATACTAATCTTTCTATAAACGGCTGATTATCTGCTGCTTGCTCAGTTTGATTTGGATAAGATAACGGGACATGAATCTGAAACATGCAACAAAAGCATCATTCCAACACATGAGATCAGTAGTACGATCAAGGATGCATACTTTTTCCTTGCTTATCGCTTCCTGCATTTTGTTTTGATTCTCAAACAGTAAGTTTAACTTGGCATCATGTTTTTCTTGTGAAACGAGAACTTGTCCCAACATTTTTGATAGTTGAGCATGTGATGCTAATGACATTTTTACCAGTGTCATAAGTTCGACTGAACTTTCATCAAAGTTTGAATGGACCGGTTTGATTGGTGATGTGGTTGGCCGATCAGAAAACAGTTCTTTACCGCAAAACCGTTTGGCTACTTTACCCGATTCTGTTCTTGAACTGGGTTTTCGCTTAATCTGGGGCTGTTTCTTCGTTGTTGTTTTCGTTGACTGTCGTTCTTCTTCCAGAACGTCAAGATTATTGTCTTCTTCTTCACTGTCATCTTGCGGCGCCAAAACACATTCTGCTGCAGCAATGGCATTGTCTATGATGCGATAGGTATCTAGAATGCAAAAAAATTTTATCATTTCTTGTAAGTAAATTCTTCGACAGTACAATCACTTGATGTTTCTTCTTTTACAGTCATAAAATCAATTGTTTCACGATTCATATATCTTACTACGAAAGAAGACAGATAAGAAGAACAGTTCGTAGAAATGAAGTGATAACTTACGCTTGAACGGTACGTCAGTTAATTGTGTAAACTTTTTTGTGTCTGAAGAGAAACAAGAGAAAGTAAACCTGACAAACTCTTTAAAATGCATACTTGTTGTATTTGACGCTGTCGTCGTTGCTGATGATGCTGACGGTTTTTGTTGTCTGTTGTGTGCTGATAACTGATTATTTACATCTTCCAAATCCGATTCAACTCGATCGCTCATTGTTTGAGCCAAACGTTTCCCTTGTTGTTCCATGTCATTTCGAGTTCCTGAAAGAAAAGCTGTTTATTTTATAGCGTATATAAAAATACAGATGGAGAATGCATACCTTCAGCAAAATAGAAGGCCAGATGTTTTTTACTACCTCCTATGATACTGACTAAACGGTTTTGATCTGGTTGTGGTACATTCTTTTTCTTCTTAATAGTGTACGTATCATCCGCGCTAAATAACAATAAGACATATAAATCTTGTTCTGATGATGGACGTGTACAATAATTTCTTGCATATGGATTAACCGCTAAATAACTAGCCATCTAGAATAAATAATACAAGCAGATGATAAACAAGATAAATTTAAAGAAAACACAACATCCTGTATAACTACTTATGCAGAAGCGGTAGCATATTAAGTATTCCGCAAAAAGAAACTCTATTTAATTCTCCGTCCAGAAACAAACATCAGTCATGTTCATAATCAACTCTTATTGCTGAAACACACAAAACATCTTCAAATGGAACACTGATACATTTATACAATATATTTTTCACCGGTAGTATCGAAAATTTTTTGGATAATGTTAATAAAGGATACAAATCATCTAATTTGTCAGCTATCACTTGTGGTAATATCACAAATCCTGAGAGTTTTTTGTTTGATAATTCATACTGTTGAATAAAGGCAAAATATTCATCATTATATTGATAAAACAAAATAATATTGCCATAGTGAACAATTGCCGACTCCAACCGGTATGAAATAATGTAGCTAACGCATCTAAACGGTTGATCGTACAAAACTGTGTGATACGTTAAAATGCATCCTTGTACCGTTTATAGAAGATGGTATTGTTAACATTTTTGCCAATAGTTGTTGTTAATATTTGTCGATACGAATCGATTGACGAATGATTTATGGATATTTGATTGATACCAATGGGAGGTGGCACGATAAATTGATTTGATTGCACCATTGATTCTATATCGCACCAATAGGCAATTTGACTTAATAACATTTTTGTTCCATGTACTTTCTTCTTTATATGTCGAATACACGATTCGAAGGTGAATGCCGATGAGAATGCTAACCCTCGGTGCTGTCGGACTTGAAGTGGCAAATGGGGATGTGCGTGCAACGAAAATAACTCGATTGATGGATCATAAACAGAAGCCGATGTTTCACAGTAATAATGCAGTAGATTTTCGGCAAAATCAATTTCCTCGTCTGATTCTGGTGAGTGCAATAATTTGATAATAATTGCATAAACGATGAAATGCGAAGAGTTTAATGATGGTAACGATATGATACTAATTGGAACACCAACATTTAAAAATACGAACAATCTTCCATGCTTGGCTTTCCAATCCCCAACAGTCGAAATAGAATCATTGAAGGAGACATTCATATTGTGTGGTATTTGTATGTTGTTTAACATTTCATCTATTTTTGCTATAACATGTTTATCAATCATTCTACACCACCGTTTGATCAAGGATGGCACATGACCGAGACACACTCAATGCATATAATCAAATACAAATTGCTCGGGGTATGAGAAAATTTCGACTAACCGTGATAATCCTTTAACACCCTGAACAACAACTTGACGACACTAAAAAAATCAAAACACAAAGGTAATTGGACAATTGCGGAATAAGGACAGACTCACCTTTGCTGATTTTTCACTTGTTTCTTTAGCAACAGTCAAAAATTCGGCATGAGTTCTGGCCGTATATTTATTTGCCTTGTATGGATACAAAACTATACCATAATCTTCATTCCATAGGCCTGAAAAAAGGAAATGTAAACAACTGTTTCAATGATATTGAAGAAATATACCTTGAGTAACACAAAAACTACACGCATTGTAGCCGTTAAAATTTATTGTCTTCATAAATAATGATCGAGCTGGTAGATCCGATAGGAAAAATTGTGTTTGAATGATAAAATTATATTCTCGGTTGTTAACAAAAATAGATCTCCAACGTGCATTAACTCTTTGAGTTTGTTAATTGTTTCCTCTAAAAATATATTGACATCAGGTTTTTTTTTTTAGATGACCATAATGACAATACGACGATATTTTGTTGATACTCTCGCACGGGTGGTGGAATTTTGACTATCGAGGCGAAACATGGCTATTTTGACTGTTTCGTTGATCTAATTAGCGGTGCACCGTCTGTATGGATTATCATTGTAATGGTATTCGTGTTTGTTGTCACTAAATTGTTAAGGTACTTTCTTCCGCGAGAGACGTCAGATGATGGAAATAATTTTTCATGTTTTGAAAGTAAGTTTATGTTTCTTTGAATTATCGATTTTAGTTTTTCTCTAATGTCGAGGTTAACAATCTCGATAATTTGATGTGGTTTCAGAGTACGGTTAAAAACTGAGCAACGATAATTCACGCATTTTTTGGCTCCGTATCGCATTTTCATACATAGTTCGTCACACTATACGCATAAAAATTTCGATGTGGACATGGACGTTCTTCCAAAGATGTTTAATATGCCTTTCCATGTTGTTGGTAATAAATTGGGCTGCGGAAGAATTGATTTGATTATTTTCAATAAATTGGTGACGTTGAGTTTATCTAAATTACACTTAGTAGAATAGTCTGTTAGTATTTTCAACACTTTCATTACCGTTAATTTACATCCGCCATATAGTGGTGGAGAATTATCAAAATCGTTGTATTGGTTGTCGTCTAATCGATTGTTTTCATTAAAATTGGGAGTGTGAGCAGCTGTTTGACGTTCTTTCGGTGCGACGACGAAATTTTGATCGATCTCATCGGTCCGTTGAAAATCGCCATACTCATCACTTCCACTTAACGCATCAGACGACGAAGGTTCCGAAGCTTTCGATTTCTTCCTTCGTCGTTGATATCTTTGATTCGTGACTCTTCGAGAGTAATTAGTCTGTTTCCGAAACATCTGAAACATACGAAGATTGATACAATGAGGTTTGGTGTATGCGTACTTGACATAGTTTTTCACGTAAAGCATTGTCGAGAATAGCGCGATATCCTTCCTTTGAAAGTTTTTGTTCTTCGCTAGGAGACCGGCTCTGTTTTTCTAAATATAAACGGACTACCTGCATCTTCCGATGTTTCTTTTTATGGTCAACTGTCATCCATCTTGAATCTTGTATTGGTTCAAAGCACTATCCAGTGGAATTTAAGAATGAAACTCTACGAAAGGAATGAATATATGATATCTGTTTTTGCCATAAAAATCCACACAAGGTATTATATGTGTTCGTCATTGAAAAATTTTATTTATTTTAAATCTAATCATGACAACGGTCAATTAACCGCGGTTCGCAAAAATACCGACAATTAATCACGGTTTCTGCACAAACCGCACGGTGCACCGCGATTAACCGCCGGTTTTATAGCCAACCGCGGTCAATTGCCGGTTTTTTTACGAACCGCGGTTAATTGCCGGTTTCTTAGAAAAAAAGACGACATGGGTAGCATTCACACTAGCGACTTACAATCCGACCTGCAGGGCCCAGTCAAGAATGAATTCTATTGGACTGAATTCGAGTTATATTTTGTAACTGCAGTTCCATAGTTCCGATATCGAAAAAGCCCAGTTTTGACCAAATTCTGCTTCTAATAACTCTATGCTCTTTAACCTGTGAGTGTCTGTTGGTATCATTTGTTATTCTATGAGCAACCTCTCAGGATGTTCCGATGAATCTTATAGCAGGACGAACACTTCTCTGTCACTTTATTCGGAGTCAGATAATACAAATTTCTCAATAAATGACTCATATATCGACTAAACTTAAACGAGCTTACGGGTGTTTTGTGTCAAGTCATTAGATTATTATTATCCGATAGTAAACACTTTCTCACTACTAACATCATTACTGAATCGTACGACTGTCTCTTTTATTTCACATAGTTTTACGATAGAAAAAAGTATGTTCTCTTCAGGTAAGTAATCATAGTGACCGATGACTTTATGGCTGCGACACTTCTAATCGAACAAAAAAGAACTATTTTTTCAGAATAGGAAGAAGAACAAAAGAAAATCTGAGTAACAAAACGCGTCTTTGATATGTTATAATAACAAAGCACATTAACAAATTACTCAATCTTTTAGATATCGCCGTATTTTCACGCAGGTAAAATCTACCTTTTTCATAAGAATTTTTCGTTGAAAAGAGAGTTGGACTGAAGTCTGGATGGAAAACATTATGATTGAACTTGACCTTGAGAATCGTTCGAAAGCTCGGTGAATTACACTAGGCTGGAGTTCAAATATTTTACTCGCATTAAAATTGAACCGAAAACAAGGATCTAACTTACGTATCTTCCTTCACATGTCATGAGAGTTTTACTATATGATATCAAACTTTATAATATAACTAATACAAGGAGGAATTGCCCTCTTTTCATGATCGGAATGAAGTGTAGAAAAAACTAGCAATCTCAAACGAATGTACACGAGAATTTTAGTGTATAAGCCGATTTAGTGCAGACATGATTGACCTTAATGTTACATTACTTTCCGTCTGTCAATCGGCTTTATCAGATGGTGGAGGGTACAACGTTTGAAAAATCACAGCAGCTTACATTATTCTTGGTCATATTTCATACGAGCGCAGTTTCACAAAGTCTGACGCTTCATATGTGTTGAATAACTATTTCTGTAGACCAGAGTTCTAAAAATTGGAGTAATGATTCTTCTAGATGGAATTTTATGGCTACAACACCATCATCATCCACAACATTACTGTCATCTCATGAAGAAAAATGTAGTGATTTTTATATTGCATGTCGTACAAACGATATTGACAAAGTTAAACGTATATTAAAAACATATAAACCAGCTGATATTGATTATATTGAACCATGTGGTAGTACTGCATTACATGCTGCTTCGTTCTATGGATATTATGAAATAGTTAAATTATTATTAGGATGTGATGCATCAAAAAATATTAAAAATAAATTTGGTCTTACTCCATCCCAAGAAGCAAAAACACCACAAATTAAAAACTTATTTGATCGTTTTGGTAATAGTGATGCCTAGTAGTTTAGGTTATTCTTCTTCCACTTTTCTGCTGAAATATGTTATATGTACGGTTTGTTGTACTTATTTTTATGTGATAGCAAAAACAGTTAGAATGTGTTTTTTTTCGTGCGATGTAATAAGGAATAAATTATATTAAAACTTAGAAATGATCATGTATAAAGGAGACGACTGGCTCTTTTCAGATAAGCACCATGTTTTCTAGTTGACTGTAAACGTCATGTTTCAAAATCGAAGATTCCTGCGGAGAGCGATACTTCAGTCTTTTATGAAAGTTCTATAGGTTTTTTCCAGAACTTTTTCGCTAAGAACCTGCGTGAACGTTTTAGGATTGAATGAAGAACATTATGGTGCCTATAAAACACTTTCGAGATTGAACAAAAAGATCATACTATCTGATGTTTTTCCGGTGAAAAATATTGTATAATTACCTACTTTACAGAGACAGATCCATGGTTGTTATAATAGGGGATATAACTACTTCAAAGTATCTCAATACTGTTTTTATAGAATTTCTCTAAGTTTTTAATTATTTCCAGATAAATATGTTGAAAACTTTGCTTGTATACTGTCGATTATAATTAGACGTCAAAATTGTAATCTAGGTAGCTATAATATATTATACACATTGAAATTGCCAACACTAGATTTAGTACGTTCTATTATGGGCAGTACCGAACCATTTAAAATACCATAACGGATAAAAAATGAATTTTAACGTCGATTAATTTCAATTGCTTTCGCACAGGCAGCGTTTTCGATATAACTTTGGCAAGGTGGTGGAAGTTTTATAGAGCAACTCTAAACATTTAGTTGAAAACTAAAAAAGAAGGGCTTTTAACTTTTCGGAGTACATTTTTTAAAATGAACGGAGTAATTGTTTCAAACAAGGTGGGCGAATTTCCTCACCTAATCGAAATCGCTGCGTACAGGTAGAATCTTTCTTATGTGTATGAGTGTACCCGCATTCTAGGGAAACTGCATTCCTTACGGGAAAATCAAAATATGAGCAGATTTTGTTTTACATTATTTTATTTATACGTGGTTGGATAGAGATCATCGACATGATTATAAAAAAGTGGTTCTTAATTTTTCCAACTATACTTTTAACGAAGAAAGTTTTAAAATACTTAAATAACCTATAATCGTCAAAAAAGGCTAAATTTTCGAAAATACATTAAATCTTTGTTTTGACGTTCTTTTGAACGTTTCAACTAGTTTTTCAGATTCAGCATAAGAAACTGGGTATAGGAAACTATGTTTGCAAATTTCTGACAAAAAAAGTTCATCGCATTTTCTTGAGCGGGGACACAGAGGCCAAAATGTAGTGTATTTCGTATATGTATCGTACATTAATATATTTGAATATGACAATGTGAGTCATCCATCAAGACGTTCTGCACTTTGGGAACACTGTACATTTTCCAGTAGAACATGCAGACATGTCAGTTATTTTTCAAATCACCTTTTTATCACTAATATGATCCATTCAATAGTTCCACTTTCCCGGAAAAAGGAGAATTGATAAAAAAATATTTTTTGTGAAATAACATAAAAGAACTCATATCAAGAACAACCGGCGGAACATTTTTTCTACTGGGCCGAAGGAGTCATACTTAACTCCATACGTTGGCTCTCCAAAAAAAGAAGTGCTATGATCTTTTTTTCAATGGCTTCATATGAAGACTAGGTGCAAAATATTCGCACTGTTTTAGAGAAAATTAATGAATAGGTAGCTCTTAGAATATTTAGTGCAATTTCTTGCATAATTGTTGAAAAGAAATCCTAATGACAATTCTCCCGCCAAAAGCGAAAGAAATAGACCTGAGTGTCAATTACAAATATGAGTTCGGGGTCGAATTGTTCATTCTAATAAACGCCTCGACTAGGTTAGTTGTTCTGATTCCTGCTCGCTCGCGCATTCATTATGAGTTAAACAATTCACTTTTTCTGCATCATGCTCTCGAAGAAAAAACCGGGTAAAACATTTTGCAATAACTAAAAAACACCTTAACTCTCATTTCAGAAAGTCGTATAAAAGATGATTTCTCCGAGACTTTTGTGCTCGATTTTATCTTCCATACTTTTAGCTAGTTATTCTTCATAGTCAAGGATGTATACGTGTTCAGTATACTTTATTTTAAAGAGCAAGTCGAGGCATACTAATCCCAGTACGAGACACAATTATTGTACTACATCGTGGACTAGTTAGTTCAAGTCTAGAAATGAAGACAATTTTGAACTGCATGGTATGAAAAGGCAATAGAATTTATTAAGATTTAGAAGAAATTACTTATTTAACTTACAGAACCTTATTCTATCTCGTATAAAAATGACGCTTTACCCATCCTCATTCAAATAAGGTATTGACTAGTCAAGTATGTCTTTTCGATTTACCAAAGTACTTGTTACAGCTTTACACAACTGTGAATCCTTCGCCAAAGTAACACTTTTTCTGATAATCCAACCGCACACATACAACATCGGAAACAACTACTGGTGTGAACAAGACTTATTATTTTCCTCCTTGATGGTTTTCCGTCCTAGGTCAACAGACCTTACGGTATATTATAGGAAGTTTATAAGATTCCTATTCTTTCATGTTCATATATTCTTTTCTGAACATGAAATATTCTTTTCATGTTCAGAATTCGATTTCTGTTATCTTCTCATGATTATATTAACTTAGCCCTTATTTAATTATTGAAACCATGAATTTCAATCAGGAGAAATGTTCAAACTGTAGTTTTAACAGAAGAGTAGGGGTGTGACCAAGGGGAAAACGGCAGACTCCAGACTCATGGAGTCCCTTGGAGTCCTTAAGGAAACTGAAGAAATTTTATTGAACTGAACTGTCCCAGAAATCTGGGTTCCCACAAAGAGAACAAAAACTTTCTGTCTGTGGGAAAAAATCCACAGAACAGAACACAATTGTTCCGGTATAAATTTTCCCAATAAAAGAACAGGATTGTGACTAACTTCTAGACTTCTGGAGTCCAATGGAATCCAGAAGTGTGGATTTTTGGAATGGATTTTTTATAATAGCAAGGACTCCAGGAAATAGCGGAGTCCCGGAGTCTGCTGTTTCCCCCTTGGGTGTGACCGTTCCAGTTCCCATTGTTTCTGGTAACTGGGTAAAAGAACTGGTCACCAGTCACCGTTTCTAGTAACTGGAACTGATCACCAGTTAATATTCCTTCAAATGAACATAATTTAACATCTCTAAGTGGATGTTTGTTGCTCTATAAATTCCTTTTAACAGTAAAAGCGCTTTCCATGGTATAGGAACACTCATAAAAAAGGCTGTAGAATAAAGATGTTTTGTACATGTACTGTTTCTGTGGGAAACATGGTAGTATTGTTTGTGGGAATTGTAGGTGGGTTTATTACGGTATAAAAAACAAGGTAGATGAGCATCAACTTTTCTACATCTTGATTATGAAGAAAACGGTAACTAGTCCCCAGATATTTAAGCTAACTGTAAAAAGGAGTCTTTCTTGTTTCTGCTTTAACTGTAAGATGGTAGGGCCTTCATAAAAACTTATATTCGATATGTTTGAGGCTTTGTTGAATAAATCGTTACAGCAACTTTTGAACTGAGGGTCTAGTGCTTGGAACTTTCGTCTTACGAACCTTCCCAAATGTACACAGTGGGCATTTCCTCATAGAGCAGGCGGCATTTTTTGCCGACATAGTTTTTTTGAATCCAAAAGCACTTTTTTATAGGTTTTCGCATACGGTATTTCCAGCAGTGTGGCAAAGGTGAGTCG